TTTTCAAACAGCTTGTGTCAAAATTCTTAGAACTCTTCCCTCTACAACATAACTTAAATTGAGCAAAATCTGACGACCTCGATTGAGCAGGGTCGGTCGTGGCTAATGCGGAATGGCTCATAAGGACTATTTTTCTTTAGAAACCCTTGAAGACATCAAGGTATGGATGTGGGTGTTGATAGGCCTACATAATTATCTCATTCAAACCATATCAATAATACCGTTATACTACTATGGCGGTATAATGGGATTTTATTACAAGTAAAGATTATTTTAAGGAATTTGATTTTGCCACAAATCCAAGTTCTTTACTATTTAGAGAGACCTCCTATCTCTAATGGCCTCACTCATATTTTCAAGAGTTTGTTAAAAAAAGCTATTAGCACAATCCCTCTGAGATTAAAAATGTGAAACCTGATCTATCTATTGTAAGTAAAAATACAACACTCTTTTATTCCATATTGTACTGTAATATTTTAATGCAGCTTTTAGAAGTCGAAAACCTCGATATGGTAGCTATTAATATATTTTATGATATTTAAATGACCTATAACAACTAATCTTTCATTTAAACTGTCTCTCAAACTTGTAACGTTATTGGAATCCATCTGTCACGATCCTGGGAGATTCAATTTTCTGCCTTTACACATTTCAACACTCCTTTCAATTCGTATTTCACCAAAGATGCTGTGTGTCATTGAACTTCCACTGAGTTTTAAGAAAAAAAATTAAGTGGGGTCTCAGACGGAAACAAAGGAGTTGAAGGATTCCTGAAATTTTTACTCTATGGCTCCATAATTTCAGAAGTTTCCCAAGTTTCGCAAGTGTCCTAGTCAAACGAATGCTCAGGGTATATATATACATATGTAAGTTTCTGCTTCTAAGGACCTTATGACTGTGGCGTTGCTTGAATACATATGATTGTAAATAGTGAATAATATTTATTGTATTAGGGAGAGATATTTAATGAGATATTAGTTGGCCTATGTTCTAACAGTAGTGGAAGTCGATTTTATTTTAGGAAACTTCTCATAAGAGCCATTTCACTTAAGCCACAACCACGCTGCTCAATCGATTTTCTCAGATTCTTATTTCACTGGCGTAGCTTTAAAATGCTCCAAACACTGAGTTTTTTTTGACACCGACCCCACCTTAATAGTACAAACCATTGCTGAGAAAATCAAATTTTACTGTACGACCCTTTTTTCCAAAATAAGGCCTAAATTTCAGTTGGGTCCATTGTGAAGCGTACCATTTTTGATTAGAATAAGATCCAATGATGAAAATTGTAGGGTAGATATATACGGTCTCCGGCTACAAAATAAAACCATTTCAGACTCCAGATGTGGCGCCAGGATGGAGATATGGATCTCAAAAAAATGGAATATTCTCATTAAATATCTTTTGCGTAACCAAAGTCCCAAGGCTACTGCCATTCTGAGTAGATGCTAGGCACATGGGACTATAAGATAATGAAAAAAAGAACCTTGGATTTCCATTCACAGTCGGAGATATTACGTTTTTACTCGAAAAAAACACGTTTCTTACTGATTTGATGAGTTTTTGGCAAGGGAAAAAAACTGATTTAGTGATTTAATGTGATTTAACGTGATTTATATGATTTAAATTGAATTTTGCTGATTTAACCGAGTGAATGTTGATTTAAAATTGATTTTACGTTGATTCAAATCAGCAAAGCTCAATTTAAATCATATAAATCACGTTAAATCACATTAAATCGCCAAATTAGTTTTTTTCCCCTTGCCAAAAAATTATCAAATCAGTAAAAAACGTGTTTTTTTCGAGTAAAAACGTAATATCTCCAGCTGTGAAATGGAAACCCAAGGTTCTTTTTCTCATTATTTTATAGTCTCATGTACCTAGCATCTACTCAAAATGGCAGTAGCCTTGGGACTTTGATTACGCAAAAGATATTTGATGAGAACGTTCCATTTTTGTGAGATCTATATATCCATCCTGGAGCGACATTTGTAGCAGGGGTTGGTTTTATTTTGTAGCAGAAGGCCATATGTATCTACTTTACAATTTTCATCATTGGATCTTATTCCTATCGAAAATGGTATGCTTCACAATGGACCCGACTGAAATTGAGGCCCTATTTTGGAAAAAAGGGTCTTACAGTAAAATTTGATTATCTCAGCGATGGTTTATGATATTGAGATGAGGTCAATGTCAAAAAAAAACTCAGTGTTTGGAGCACTTTAAAGCTATGTCAGTGAAATCAGAATCTGAGAAAGTCAATTGAGCAGCCTCTGTGGAAAGCGGTCGTGGCTTAAGTGAAATGGTTCATAAAGAGGCTTGTCCATGGAAGTTTTAGACCATTATGAAGATGCATCATGTTTTCTAGAGTCTTCCTATTCTATCTGTCTGTAGCGGGAAAGATTATCCATACTCCTCGTGAAGGTCAATTTCATAACAAAAGCCTCATAAAATTAAGGCAAAATGATTCTGGCATATTCTGATGTAGAATCAAATGCTTTTTTAATGAGGAAAAAATTGAATTTACCATAGTGAAATATTGCATCATTATCGATACAATAGGAATATATTGAAGCAAGTGGGAAGTGGTAGAGATTTGAATCTTCCAAAACCTCAAGGCGATGATCCAATATAAAACTCAATGAGTCGTAATTGCAGCATTGTGTCTTGTTTGAGAACGCTCATGAGTGAATTCTTTCAGACTAGGCCAAGAGAAACAATTCGATTATCGAAAATATCGTCTTAGATCGCTGCAAACCGTAATTGTTTTTTTTGGTGTTAAGCAAGAGAACTTAATGACAAATGAATAGTGAATCGGATAGAATTTTTACAGCTCTACTAGAAGAGTTTGACGACCTTAAGTTGGAAAGTTCGATATAGCATATCGTTTCAGGGAATACTCAATGCCTGACCTAATATATACTACGTTTGTCGCAAAAACCATTTCTTCAGCATCCTGTATGGTAAAAATAAGCATTGGTACTTATTCTGTTACTTTTCTATTAGACGTCATAGCAAAATATAGACGAAGGTCAAAGACTTTGCAAGATGTCCTGGAGGTTCATGATTGAAGACTGTTGTTTCTTCTTGTATGCTTTCCCCAGTTTATTACGCTGTATGTACATAATAAGATAAGATCTGTATTTACTTTTCAAGATTTTTTACTCAACTCTTGAAAATCTCTGAAGGGTCCTTCGGCGCTTTCCGTTGTTAAATTCTAAGATGTCAAATACGTTATATATGTAAACACAATGTGATACTGTTTTCTTAGCATCTGTTGATAGGTTGCCATTGCTTTTAGAGACTTTCATAGAGCTCTATAGGAATCTTGAAGACTAAAAATGCATCAAATTGACTTTTAAGATTTGTTTATGGTAATACTATTGCTAGACATTTACTATTTTGATTATGACAAGAAGTCCAACCGAAATTGTCAAAAACGAAAAAGTGTATGCTACAATAGGTAATTCAGAAAACTCTTCGAATCAATATAGAGATTTTGAGCAGATTCATGTTGCTATATTAACTAAATTAGCAGAAGAACGCCCGCAATTTCCTGCACATGTTCCTAAACTAATTCACGTATTACCACCAGTTGATGCTCATATACAAGGTCAATGGCAAGAACGGTTACAACTGGCAAAGAAATGCTACAATCATGAGAATATAGCTCTTATTCCTTATTATGCTCAAAATTCACACTGGCTTGGAATGATATTAAGATTTAACATTAGCGGGCAATTAGAACAGGCTGAATTTATTGATCCAGTAGCGAATTCGAATTTCAATCCGATGAAGTTGCAGATGGAATTTTCTAAACTTTTTTCAGGTGTTGTTTTAAAGTCAATGACTCTTTAAAAGCATCCTGATCCAAAATATAGTGCAGAACTAACGATTACAAATTTACTCAACGCAATTAAAGAAACTCATTCTGCGAATGTAACAAGCCAGAGTATCAATAACCCGCGTGAGGAAAAACTAGATGATCGTAATACAATTACGAGTGCTCGTTGTACCGATGAAGAACGAAAAATATCAGCATCAGCTGTACTACAAGGTAATATTCTAGAACAGCCCTATGGACAGCATTTTTTAAATAGCGAATCAGAAAATATGATATCTCAGAGTAGGTCTGATCCAACAGTAAAAGTATCATCGACAATACAATCGATATATCCGAATGAAAAACGGAATACTAGTGATGATGTCAACACACACAAAAGAACTTTTGGGCAATTAGCTGAGGTCGAAAATGCAACAGGCCATAGTCAGAGTAGAGAGTCAGATACTTCCATTCTAGAGAAACAAAAACAATCAAGATTTAAATTGTATGAGACGCCAAAAAGTCAATTCGAAAACAGTTTAGCAAAGAACGGCATATCTAATGAAGAAGAGCCACTTAAACAAATAACAGCGAGGAAAGAATTAATTCAATCACCCGAAAATGAAGGAAGATACAATAATGCACAGAAAACAAAAGCTCCGTTATCGGAACTTGAACAAAGTCAGTTGTTAGCAGAGCAAGTTAATGCTATGACGCCTTCGCATGCGAATATGGATTGTGAAAGGGTTACTGATCAGACGGATCTAGTCGATGCCATGAACAGAAGATCCGAAGCTGTTGAATCAAGAGTAGAGTCTGAGATCGATAGAAAACAGGATGAAGAATGTCTGATCACAGTAGAACGTTTAATTAACATGTGGAATGATTCTAGTCAATTACCGTCATGTTCTGAGAAATATATTATTAGTCTATTATTTTATGTTTCGGTTAAATTAGCAGATAAGGAGAAAATTTTGCGCTCTAATGTCAAAATGCCAAATGAAATTGAAGAGAAAATTATGAAAGAATTTGATAATTTGAAGGAAAGGCTGAAAACAGAAGAATTGCAATCGGGATTTGTTGAAAACATAATCGAAAGATGCAGTGTCTATTTAAAAGATAAAAGTTGGAACAATGCTTTGATTGATTTGAGAAAATTATTGAAGGAAGTGCGTCCATTAGATACACAAGAATTGATAAGACTTGTTGCGAAAGCCAATGATGCAGCAAAGTTAATCAAGGGAAAAGAGATTATCCTTCTTTTGGCGGGAACTGGAGCAGGCAAATCTACAACTATACATTTTCTTGGTGGATCTACAATGGCTGAAACAATAGTGCAAAGAATGTACTATATTGCTCCAATTACAATAAAAAACCCTGATCTTCAAAAGATTACAACGACACCATTTGTGAAATCTGGAACTCGATACATTTCTCCTGTGACGATAAATTTTAAAGATATTGGTGGAAGTAGTAGTGATAGTGTTATTCTATGTAATACTCCAGGATTCGAAGATACCAGCGGTCCAGAAGTAGATATTGCAAATGGGATCGGTATAGTTAAAGCAATACGAACATGTAAAAGTGTAAGGCCAGTTGTTTTGATTAGTTACAGGAGCATTGGTGATAGATGCACTGGTGTGAAGGATCTAGCTCATATGTTAGTAGGATTGATTCCAGGAATTAAAGATAATATAAAAACTTTTTCCTATTTATTTACCAAATTCCCTAAAAAAGAAAGATCTCCAATAAATGCATTATTGAATAATATCAGTGACAAGGGGGAAACAGCGGACTTCAAGACTTCAAGACTTCAAAAGACTTCAACAGACTTCAACAGACTTCAGCCGCTGTGACTTCATATTTTCACAAGACTTCAGAAGACTTCTAAAGACTT